TGGATTTTACTCAATATTCCGTACAATAAAAAAACTTTTGACCAATTTTTAGGCATTTGTTTAGTTTATATTTTAAAGAATATGTTTTTTTAAATTTAATTAGTTTTAAAAGAATGATGTGTTTCCTTATCATTTTTCAAAGATTCAAAAATTTACTTTAATTCTCTTAATTAATATTGCAATCTTTTGTTATCAAAATTTTAAAAATTTCACTGAATTATTCAAAGGTCTTTTGGTTTCGAAATCATCTTGTTACAAATTTACCATACTTCTCGCCAAGTTTTGTTTCGACATTAAGACGAATGGCCACATGTAATCACTACAGTCGCGATATTACTGCTTCAGAGAAGTTGATGAAAATACTCGCGATTTTTAATATTTTGTGAGTTTTAAAGTTTTTTCCCTAAGTTTATAATTAACTAAAATTTAAATACTCTGATAAGGATAGTTAAAGGTAAATTTTGATAATTTTTTTCACTAAAATATTTTAATTATCATTTTGTTTCCCTTCTTTAAAAAATAGATCTTTTCAATAAAGCAGAGTTCTAATTGAATTTTTTCCCCTTGCTTTGGGGAAGGGCCAGAATTTTGAACTATTATAACTAAAATACATTGAAATGGTTCATCGGCTAATTCTGGATACAGAAATGCAAGTATTTTTTTAGAAGAGAGATTTCAATTGATTTTAATGTACCTTTCCACTGATGCAGCAGCATTGAAGTTGATTGAATTACTTTTCTATTCTTTTTTCTTTTCGGGGTAAAATCCTAGTATACGGTGCAGCCTTGGTGCGATTTTGAAAATTATGGCCAACGCCAAAATGACCCGTTTTAACTACTCATCGTAAATATCTCATTTACTGCTCATCATAAAGTCGACAAAAGTAGCCAAATCCCTTGTGCACCGGATACTAGGATTAAACCGTTGCATTTATTAGATTATTTGAAATTTATTAATTATGAATTTCAAAATTTCCGTGAAACATTAGTTCTAAATTTCTTACTTTATGGCTTTAATGACGATTTTCTGCAGCTTGAAGAGCGAAAATACTAGGCATATTTATTTTTGTTTTTAAAAAAATTGTTTTGTAATTATATATATACCCAATCTTTCACACGGCTCAGCTCAGGCATTTTTTATTCTTACATGATGGCATTTTTTTATTTTTTGCTTTAAAATTGATTGAATTGTCAATTGCTGAATTTTATTGGCTTTTCCTCCACATAGTAAAAGCAAACTTTTAATCAAGTCAGTAATTTACTATGGAAAATAAGAGACATGTTGAATATTTCTGAATGTGGTGAATCAAGAATTAAGTTAAGCAATTTTATGGCAAATTAAAAAAAACGACACTAGATCAATAGCTCAAGTGCAACCATCACAATAATTAAAATTAAATTTTTGTGCAATTAGAATCTGTTATTTATTTTTTTAAATGTGCACATATTTGTGAAATTCAAAATAATGAAAATATAAAAATAACAAACATAAATTTAATAAACCATTTTTTTCAAACCTTTTGTTCAAATTCTTACTCTACTTGTTTGTTATATTCAAGTTATTTATATGCAGTTATTTGTAATGATTATGTTCTATGCTGTATATTATAGAGAAAAATGTTCTAAAAAAATATATTCTTTTAAAAGTGATCCATTCAAGAAAAAGGTTGGGAATCTCTGTTCTAGGCCATTTCAGGCATCAGTTCTTTGAATATGGACATATCATCCAGCATATCATTTATTTTTTGATTCATTTCTCCTTTTCTGCAAAGAATTTCCGCATTATTCATTTTGATCTATATGAGAAATAAATCTGGTGAGTAAGCAACAAATTAGGCTTATGACTTGGAGACGAAACAGAAAGTCCTGTGATGACTCATATCAAACAACTAGATTCAATAAAAGCACTGAATCATCACTTTAAGTACAACTTAGCTATTAAAAAAATTCATACAATTTTCACATATTAATTAATTTAATATGTAATTATTAAAATTTCTGAAAACAAAACATTCACAAAATGTCATGATATGATATAGCCATTTAAATCTAAATTTTACATGGTAATCTTAGAAATATTCCTTGAAAAGCAATCTGAATATTACTGATCCGTTAATTTGTTTAATGAGCTATGACAAAGCCAATGAGGATCATCTGTCCATGGGAAGAAATTCAGGGCCTGATTAAGATTTTTAGAGGCCCTATGTATTTAAAAGATTTTGGTGCCCCCATGTGCATTTATTTCCCTCATTCTTTATCAGCATCATACTTTCCATGGTAAAATCAGCAATGAGACAATTTTGTGGCACCCCTTCCCTTGGGCATTCTAAGAACCTTTTAGTGGTGGCCTTCCCTTGATGCCCAAAACACGTGCTTATTTTCCTTAATGATTAATTGAAATCTGTAAAGATGCCTTTTTGAACGATTTTTTTGAGAAACAGATAATGATGCATTAACATTATATAAAAAAAAATCTTTCTAATAATGTAGAAAATTTAATAGTTTCATATTAAAAGAATAAAAATTCAGTTAATACAAATTTTATTCTATACCAATGCAAACATGTAATTTTTTTATCCATTCAGGAACCTTATATGCATACAATAAGCAAAACCTAGATATATAACAAAGGCAATGTACACAAGAGCTGCCTTAACATGTGTGACTTCATTATAAAATGAAATATGGTGATATTTAAATTACCTATGACAGCTAATCAAGAAAATATCCACACATCTATAATTTTTAGGATTCTCTATTCCAGAAAATCAAACTGCAGATGGCAGATCAAAATTTATTCTAGACATAGACCTTATATTGGAAATGTCATAGGAAAAGCATTGAAAATAGACAAAAACTGATAATTTAGACATCTGATGGTTAAATTATCATGAAAATCAGGGCTTGCATATTCTAAAACATTAGGGAGAAGTATAAACAAACAAATTGATATAGTAATTCTTAAAAATTTATCATTAAATTAAAAAAATCTACCATATTCAAAATTTCAACCAATTCATAACCATGAATATCTGTTACTTACTATAAAGAATAAATGTACAAGTATAATACATTCGATTTTTTAATAAATTAAGTACTGTTGCTATAAATATATATTTATTAACTACTTATTAGTACCACTTCTTTTATATTACATTTTAGGCAATACAATTTATTTTTAAAACATTACACAAATTAACCGAGTTGAAAACTAGTAGGAAACGGCAGATTGGTTTTATTTGCTGGTATATTGTGGCAAAGAGTCACGAACAGATTCTAGTAAGATAATGCATGTTAAAGAATATTTTGCTTTATCTTGAACATGCTTATTACCAGGTGACACATATGTTTAAAAATATTTTTTGCTAACGAATTTTATTTTAGTACATTAATCTTAACATTCTTAGCAAATTAGACCTCAAAACAATAATAGTCAAATATCTGATTAATAAAAATAGAACATATATAAGAGTGAGATTGACAAGGAATAAATATAAACACAAAATGTCGCAATTTATTTCTTATTTAAGTTCTAATTTTTGAAATTTGCAAAAATTACCTTTTCTGTATAAAATAAATTTCACACACTAGTTGGTCTCCCTAACACATTTAATTACGAATAATTCCTCAGTAAACAGTGCTATATCTATGCTTGTGCCGTCCATCCAGTTATAGTGGTTAATGATCCTGCTTGCTGTAACGATGAGCTCAGGTTCGAATTGCAGAGAAGGTATGCTTGTAACTGTCTGTCCGGTCATAGGAAACAAGGCTAATCTTTGGAATATGGTAACAAGTAGTTTGGCGACATTTTGGTAAGGCGATAAGGTTAGTAGCTAGGACTTTAGCAGTGCACATGGATAAAGTCAAGAGTGTGCGCAATGCATTTTTGTGCAATTCCGGGATTTTTTTAAGTGAAAATAGTCGATGTGTACTGGAGACCGTGTATGCAATTCTTAAAAACGCGGCAAGCAGTGGGCGATTCTGCACTTCTCCAATTTCACACCTAATCTTCGTCATGATTAAGCACTTTTGTTCCATAAAAGTTTGCATAAGCGTAATCGGCTAGCATATTGTTGAAAAAAATGTTGAGTTAAAAAAAAAAAAAAAAGCCTTTAATCGTGAAAACCAATGCATCAAACGAAACACAGGTTGCTGTTGCAGGTTGTCACCAAAATTGCCAAGTCCCAATCTACAGATTAACTGGAACAATGCTGTCTACCTGTAGTGCTTCCATAATTAATGCCCCACTCTTGCCCTAAATGGCTATTAATAAAAAACAAAAAAAAAAAAAAAAAAAAAATGCCTGTACTTGTTTTGCTCCGCCCACTGCTTTTAATATAAAAGCGGTTTTCAGTCCTCTAATTTTGGGGGAAAAATCTGAAGAAGTTTGTATGAAACCGATACCATTATATTTATTCAAAATCCACAATAAAGGTTGCATTCCATCTCCTTAATTTTACATTTAATTATTTTCTTCTTACTCCCAATAGGAAATCAGCTTTAGTTTTTAAGTAATCTTAAGCTAAGTGAAATACATATTTATGATCAGGCAATAATTCTTTGGCATGCATAATTCCTTCTTCCTAGGGTGATCCCAATCAGTTTTTCCAACTACTACTAACAGATAATTTTCAGATAGAAATATTTAATATATTGTGGTTATCTTCATTTAGCTCAGTACACTTACACCCTATTCTTAATACTGAATTATTTCTAAGTTAAGTGTTGGAAGCTCTGATTGTTTTGGTATTGTTCTGTTCTCAGGAGCAGATCCAGAAATATATATATGCATGCATGTATACATATATGTACATACTGTGTATACATATACGCATACATACACATGCACACATTTCTGAATCCAGTCTTGATAACAGAACAATACCAGCGTTTCTTTGGAGAGACTGTCTAATGTAAATCCTTTTATACATTATTTGCTTTGCTTATGTACATTTCACATTTACGGCTAACCTTTATTTAAAAAATAACACATGACAACGATTAAGTGATTCTTTTACAGTTTAATGCTGAAAAAGAAAAGTGATCTATGATTTACCATCTCATTATTTAAGCCATTATGTGAACTAATTCAAACAGGCAAAATTGAGTGACTACTCAAAGCAATTTCAAATCGTAGATTATACATAATATATATATATATATCAATAAGAAATATTAACCTTCCAAAATACTTCATATACTAATTGTTCAGAATATAGGTTAAAAGAACTAAACTTTCTACCATCTCCATGTTTTAAAACACATACTGATCAGTACAGATTTTAAAATAGTATATTGTTCCAATTTAGTTTATTTAACAACTTTACATACTGAATAAACACACTCTGAAAGAACATACTGAAACATGCAAAATCAGTCTTAAATACTTGACATTTATCAATCATGCTGCTTTAGAGTGTTAGACATAATACATCTAATCTGGAATGTGTAATGAAAATTCTCAAATACCAAGAACTTAATCATTGTTCACTTCAAACACTTTCTATTTAACATAAATGAATATACTTTAAATATTAATTTTAAAACTCTAAGAGTTACATAACTTAAGCATTTTCCCAATAACACCTAAATAACCAATATTATCCACAAAGCTTAAAAAATACATTCAAGGATCACGATTTTAGTGGTTTTGACGACGACGAAGAGCTCTCTGCTTGTCAAAGCGAAGTTCCATTTCTTCCAAGACTTTTGGTGTATAACGTACAACAAGTTTTACCGTTCCTTGGGCTGCTTTTAAGAGTTCTACAGCTTTTTCATGATTTTCACCTTCAACGCTTACACCATTTACAGAAAGTAACTGATCGCCCCGTTTTAGACCACCATGCCGATCAGCAACTCCGCCAGGAATAATTCTCGAAATGTAAATTGGAGAATTCTGCTCGCGACCCCCCATTACATTGAACCCCAAACCTTCGTCTGTTTTTGGAAGCTCAACAACTCGAGGATGGGCGTGGCCCTCACTAGCAGCAAATGCAGCTACTGTTGCTTTAGCTGTCGCACTGGCTCTGATATCAGGACTACCGGATATATCAACAGTTTCATAAACATGTTCATAGACTTCTCGCACAGCTGTACAAAAATCACTCTGCAGCACTTTCTGTAGAGCAGCTAACTTTTGATTTGGCAATTCACCACTTTTTTGCAGCTTTTCCAATAATTCAATCGCTCGTTTGACATCTCTTTCGAGAGTCAAAGGTTCAGCAACAGAAGCCATGAAATATATTGCAAAATTAAAGAGATTACTATGCCAAGAAAACTAATTACACACAAACTTATTCACTACGATAAAATACCAGAAACAACAGTGCACCAAACATTCTAGTCTTTTTACCCAGGAAACAAACAGTTAAATATTTGCAAATATTTCTGGAAATAGGCAGAGGGAACTGCACGATTTTGATGAGGTAAAAATTGTCTCCTTTTTAATTTACAGTATTTTAAAATGAAGTATGTGCTAAATTAAGAAAAAGTAAGGCAAAATACTTTGTTTCTCAATAACTGCGAATCACTGTTTCGAAAGATTCGTTATTCTTTGTAAGGTATATTTTTATTTTTTGTCTTTGAAATAGTCGCTGAAATAAACATCTTTCATATACTGAGGTTTAGTGGACTCATGTGTAGTATCTATGATGGATGAGGTAAAACTTCTGATTCATATTTGCATATGACCTTCCCATGTTAATCCTAAGTAAGTCAGGCGGATTTTGTGCATTTTTCTTCAAAATTACTTGCAATAATATATTGATTTCCTAATTTAAGCAACAGGAAATATTTATCTTTTCTAATAACATACGAATCTTCTAAATTAGGACATAAAAATTAAATTAATTAAAACTCTCAGTACTCTGCGAACAACAATACAGGTTCGACGGCGATGTCTCATTTTGTTTATAATGTTGTCAAAAAGCTACATGTTCAGAAATAACCCACTGATCACGTAAAGGAATTTCAAGCCCATCTAGGTTTGAGGAGGGAGATTGGAGGTCAGCAACACGACAGCATCCCACACATGCTGAATTGGATTAAGGTCGGGACAGGATGATAGTATCTTCAAGAAAATGGTATACGAGGCGAGCAGTGTGAGAGACGGCTGTTATCTGCTTGTAAAATGAAAGTTTACCAATTGTGGCAGCATACGGAAGAACAGTAGGATCCAGTATGTCGTCTATGTACCTATGAGTATTGAGAGCTCCATGTGGCAGCAGATAAGGATCTACAACACCCACCTTAAAGATATTCCTCCCCATACAAGAACACTACCTCTTGTATAGGTATCCTCTCCCCGAAAATGTTAGACGGAACACATCGCGTGTTTGCTTCTTTTCATATGTGAACACGTCGAGACTCACTCTGTAAAGCAATGACAGACTGTGTCAAGTGAGGGAACAGGCCTCCACTAATTTTTAGTCCAGTTTACATAGTCACGTGCCTAATTCAAAGGCCTTCTCCGGTGGCGGGAAATAAGCGGGACGCACAATGCCGGTCGCCTGACATACGGACCTCTTTCATGCAGGCTTCTGCGTACTGCTGTGGCTAATACTGTCCTTTCTCTAGCAGAAATAAGCATATATCTAAGCTCATATGGAGTTACAGTCCTGTTGCGACGTGTACTAGATAGTAAATACCAGTCATCCGCAGAAGAGTTAAGTCTTGGCTGGCTGAACCAATAGTTCCGCAACTAGCTTGCCATGAAACGGTTGACATTTATTCAGGGCCGTCGCTAGGCAATTTGCAGATCCTAAAATCTGCTGCTAGATGCCTCCTTAAATTGTAAAAATTTGGCAGGTCTATGCAGCTACACCGACCTTGCATTTAGACGTCTTGCAACATGAGACTATTGTTGACCTGCTTCTAGTTGGCCTATGGCTCTATAACACTATTCTGCTGAAAAATGTTCCTTCGAAATCATTTTCAGACTTCGATTATCTCAAAATCGTTTGATATACCGTAGTTCGTTCACTAGCGATTCCCTCCTAAATAGCTGTTTTAAGCTATATCGTATTTATCTCAAGCGATGCCAGCGCCGCTCTTTTATATAATTCTACTCGATGTAGCTTGCTTTTTGTAACATATCCAAATTACAAAATACTTTTAGCCGATTTATCGCGATTTCAAAATTTGTTGCTTAACTTTTGGAAACTATTGCACGAGTCCCACTTTTTCCAGCTCTACTTCTTTTTAAATGTCTCCTCTATAAGTATAGGCATATATTATTATTTATTTCATCTATAAGTATACATGTTCAGACTTTACCAGACCGTGGGATGGATGGACTTCTGCACTCGATTCACTAAAATTCACTTTGTCAGATTTTTCAACACAGAAATCTTTCACCTTTATGAACAAATCTTGTTTCAATGTCGTATCATATGGAAAGCTTTGGGGGCAAGCTTTTTTCCTCCTGAAAATCTTTTTCCAAAATACAATATGCTGATGACATCGTTATAGTCTGAAATATTTCTTTGCACGTTACTCGATGATGATCTTTCTGTTTAGCTTATTATTAATATCGCATTTCTTTCTCCTGTTGATGTGGTTAGTCTTCCTAGCCTTCGGTCATTTTTAATGTCTGACACGTTCTTCAAGTCTGCAGGTAACTCAACAGATGACTTCCCTACGATTTAATGCGTGATTATTATAAATATCACACAAAGAACTGTAAAATTCTATTGGAATTTTGCCAAGCAAGCTTTCATTTTTTAAATATGATGTGTGATTTTCTAGAAACCTGCAGACTACGTTTCAAACTCTGATCACTTCAAAAATGCCATATTCTAGAGATATCAAATGGACACTTGCTTTTGTTTGCAATGTTCAGCTGTAATATACAAATGCATATAACTCGTCCGGACACTAAGGGCTACCAGGAATTGATATCAATCTTCTTATAGATCAAGTAACTGGAAGATTTGTGGTGGCACCTACAAATTTGAAATCCAGTTGGTTGTATACCAAACAGACTTACACAAAAAGATGTGGCTTACCCCCCCCCAAAAAAATATTCATTTGCACAATATAAAGAATTCTTAATTCTTCAGCTAACATTTAGTTATACTTGACAGTCTTCTTCATGTTTAAATCGTAATACATTTTTATAGAATCATTAGTTAATAGTTCGAAGTGGATTCCAGGATATGTAATAGTTACCTGTGTTTATTATTATTATTCTAGTAGCTTCAATTATCGTCTGCTTTGCAGCTTGAATTCTTATAAAATAAATTAGGTTTTATTTATTTTTTTTGCTATTAGTAGCACTGTGTTCCTCTTAATATGTTACAACTGGTCCTCCCTCAAACCATAGAACGGTTGTCATTATTTTAAACATGCAGATAGCCCCCTTAAAACTAAGCTTATAGAAAAAGTGATAGAAGCTACAAAACAAGGCTTCACATTAGCTGTTTCGGATGCTGCTGAAGAATTCGATAATAGAACTGCACTCGAAACTAGATTCTTTAAAAACCCTGCTTCAAATTTGAATGCACTGTGTAATAAATATTACGAAAAAGCTAAAGATAAGGAATTAGAAGAAACTGATGTTTCTTTAGAAGAATTGCAAGTAAGTCATCAGACAAATGAGATCAGTCTTTTAAACATCATTACTTAGTATTCGAACAGAAGTTCGAAAATTGAAGTTGATGATTCCTGCTTGTGCCACAAACTTGATAACTCCAAATATCCCTCTTCTGCAAAGTCCCCTACAGGAACTGTCTGGTTTGTGTGAGGAGTGGATTAATTTCATAATTATATTTAATGATATAATATTTAAAAATCCTCATTTAACAGATTCACAAAAATGTTTTCATTTATACACTGCACCCCAATCCTAAGCAAAGTCAATTCAAACCTCTGACGACACGTATGGACCATTATATTTAAAGCATTAGAAGACCGTAACGAGAACAAAAGAATAATCATAGATACACATATTCACAATATTATAAACAATCCCAAACTTCAATAGTTGTCTAAAGAGCTTCGGGAAATGCTAGATCACGTAAAAAGGCTAGATCGAGAAATGCTAGATCACGTATGCTGGCATTGAAATCATTAAATTTTGATAGATATAAACTTTCGTATATATTATTAATAAATATTATCATTCAAAAACTTGGTCGAGTCTAGAAAACAATTTGAAAGGAGTTTCACGTCAAATAACGTTCTAAAATTTGATGCACCTTTTTTCAAAAAGCAAAGCCAGATTTAGAAAGCTCATCATGAAATATGTCGTTTAAGGATGCAAACAAATTCGCTACCTCAGCAGATTCTACTCATCGGTGAAAACGTTTCACAGTTAGTTCGAATAACCTTTCAAAATCATCTTGTGTTGTGTGCAAGAAAGTGCAAACCATATGCAGATGTTTGACTTCAATGATATCAATCATACTGAGAGGTTAAATGTCATCACGAAACATAGACTCTGCTTATTATCTTATAAAATATCTGAATGTAGGTCAACGATCACTTGTTTGATATTATACCTTATTACAAAGAGAATTGAGTAAAGATTCCTTACCCACTTTGAATGAATCAGAAACTGAAAGGGTGAAAGGGAATATTATTGACTCAATCATTAATAATAGTTATTGAAAAGAAAACTGTTCTGTTGAGTACTGTCATTATCCATATTCAAGATTTATTTCAACATCTGCAACCTGTAATTGCAATCCTTGACAGTTGCCTCTCACTGTAATTTTGTAAGTGCTAAATGTGGTAATTTATTGGAATTAAAAAAACAAATGTTTTTGCTCCTATTTCAGGAATTAATGGTTCAGTTCTAAATGTTAAATCAAAAATAAAAGGTGCACTGTCCGCTTTAAAGGGCATTTATATTTGGAATTTAGATTTTTTGGTCATATCAAAAATAACTGCTATTACTCCATCTAAATTAACATTTCAGAAATAAAAATGCTGAACACCGTTTTAGCAGACCCTGAATTTTACAAATCCTAAGAAAGCTGATTTATTACTTGAAGTTGTTTTCTATAGTTTATAAAAAGTGGAAAGGTTCACATGGAAGACAACAAATTGTTTCAAGAAAATATAATCTATTGTGCAGCTCAACTGAAACTTCTATTTAAGTAGAAAATTATTCATTTATTAATTATTGTAACTTATCTATGAATATGCACACATTAAACCAAACACTTAAGCCATTTTGGGAGATAGAAAATGTAGAAGGTTACAGTCTACCCCTAAATGAAGAGATGATATTGTGAGAAATATTTTCAATGTCTTGGACTCGGCATTGAAAACCCCAATGGTCACTTTATTGTTCAAATGCCACTTAAACCTGATGTTGCAAAAACATAACTTTGGAGCAGTACTATAGAGCTCGCATCAAAATGCTTAAATCAGCCTTGGTGATATCTGGAAACCAATCCAGCAATGAAAGTATTATATACAAAGTTCATGCAAGAATATGAAAGTTTCCATCATATGGTTGAGACTGAAAGGGAAGCTAGTTCGCTATCTACCTCAGCACTGGATCTACAGATCTGACAAGTATAGATGATACTCAACAGTACTCAACAGTAGAAGATGTATACTCAACAGTATACATCTTCAACACTATAACAAAAAGTACTAGTGGTCAGTCCCTCAATGACCACCTTCTGCAGGAATATTTCATAGAAGACTTCTTTTCTATCAAGTTAAAGTTTAGAAAACATATTTATGCCTTTAGTAAGGACATAGAAAAAATGTTTTGATATATTAAAACTGACAAGTCCCAAGTCAATCTTTAAAGTTCTCTGGAAGAAATGTATGGACTTTCTGATAAATACCTACACTCTTCAAACAGTTACATATGGAACAGCATGTGCCCAGTGGACACTTCAGCAGACAGCTTTCAATAGAGGGGGGGGAAATAACTTTCCTCAAGCCTCATCCAGAGTTTTAACCAACTTCTACATGGATGATGTCCTGTTAGGACTTCAGACTTGATTTTAGCCAGAAGTCTTCAGAGAGAGTTGATCCAGTTGCTTAAACATGGTGGAATGAAATTGCACAAATGCATTCAGGGTAATAAGCTTGAGTTAAATGAAGAGGGTAAGGATATTATCCTTTCCACTATTCTACCACAAAGAGATTGTGAAAGCCTTAGTAGTGCAGCAGAAAACATATAGTAATTCTTTCTCCTTCAAAGTGCCCATTGAACCAAGTAGAACATAAACCAAATGAGCCATATTTTCAGATATAGCTTGCATTTATGACCCCCTGGGATTGGCTGGCCCAGTCATTAACAGAGCTAAAATACTTATGCAAACATTATGGTTACCTCAAACTGAAAGTTCCTGGTGTTCTCTTGAATGGCAAACTCTGTTTTAATGCTTTCCGTAATGAAAGATCTATGCATTCTGAGATGTGTGTTAAGTAGCAATGCATAAAAAATTGCGATTCATATCTTTGCTCATAGCTTAGGAGGTGCGCATGAACCTGGAGTTTTGCAGTTTAACTTCAAGGTATTTCAAAAGAAAAGCCTTATCCAGCCATCTTTCGAGCAGTAGGTCACGGGTTACTCCAATCAAGACAAGACAGTAAATGCAAGTCTAGAACCTTCTTGCACAAGTCAGATGATAGGTTAATACACTAGCAGAGAATAAAAAAAATTGTTCAACAAGTATGGAAAAGATGGCACTGTGATTATATTATATGCCTAAAACAAAGGGCTAAATGGCAATTTTCTAAAGATAACATTGCACCTGGCACTTTTGCATTGCTGAAGGAAGATGGTTTACCTCCCTGCATATGGCCTGTCTGTCAAATAAAATAACAGATAATTGTGATGATAAAATTCATGTGGTGATTACTAAGAACATTAACAGGTACCTTTAAAAGATGTATTTCAAAAAGTTGTACGTCCAGAAAGACACTGTTGTTTTATGTAATCTATAATTTATTAAAACTATTTATAAATTCTAATGATATTATTGCATATGTTTGTTAAACAGTTTAGAAATTGTTTATTTACACATTTATTTTGAAATACTGACACATATCAACATCAGGCGAGATGTTGAATATCTTAACTCTGCTTATTTTTATTAAAAGGTAAAAAATTGTATTTTCGCAATGAAAGTACAAATTCTAAAGATGTAACAGACACTTGTAGTATGATTCTAGTAGCTCCAATTATCCTTTTCTTTGTAACTTGAATTCTTATAATACAAATTAGTTTTTCTTGCTATAAGTAGCAATATGTTTCCCTTAATTTGTAATAATAATTATTTAGAGGATGCTGCTTTTTACTTTTTAGAAGCAGCTTTCCAATTTTTTTGGTAAATAATTATATATTTAAATTATGAATTTATTAACTTCCATCATGCAGTTTGCCTCATTTTACTGCATGATGCAGGGCAAAAAAAATTATGCCCCAATTTCCAAGTGCAGCGTTTACATGTGTAAAATTTAAATTTTCAGGGCTTGTGGCATTTTAACTCAAGCAGTGCTTACATGCACTTAAAGAATATTTTCTAAGATGCCATAGTAAATAACTTGAATTACCTTGAAGCTGCTCCCACACAGAATACTGGTTGCCTTCTGTGAACTTAATTATATTTATATTCTTTTCCTTAAACAAATCTACATGCTTTTTCATCCTAAGCAAGATCTTTGAATATTTACATTCTTTCCTCCTCAAATCAGCAATCACATCAGTTTAAATCTTTATTCTTTGTCCCTTGATGAATTGTCTGGAACCCACCATCTTCCCCCTCTTTTCTATTGTAAATCTACTACGGTTCTTTTCAAATGCGGACATGACTCCACCTGCGTTGCAGTAATGAACTCCAATGCATTTCTTTTATCGTCCCTTCAACACGAATCGATTTTTATTGGTATTTTGCCAGTTACAAATCCCTCAGCTTCAGTATAAGTGCTAGTTAGATAGTTTTTAAGTAAGAAGAAAGCAAAAAACTTTTGAAAATGACACCTAAACAGCATAGAAGATATACTGCTTAGTGCACTTTCCCATGCTGAACAAACTGGAAATAGAGCAGCAGCACAAGAATTTGAAGTGGATGAGCGATGCATTTGACACTGGAGGACTGAAAAAGAACTTGAAAATATGTCACAACAGAAATCAACCAAAAGAAGTGGTACTGTAAGATGACCGAATCTAGAGGATGACCTTGCAAAGTGGATAAAGGAATAATAAGGAAAGAGAATGGCAATTTTGACTATAAAACTTCACTTACAAAGTTTATGATGCAATAAATGAACATAAATGATTTCAAAGGAGGGCCTTGGTAGTGTAGCAGATTTATGAAAAGAAATCAACCAAAAGAAGTTGTACTGTAAGATGACCGAATCTAGAGGATGACCTTACAAAGTGGATAAAGGAATAATGAGGAAAGAGAATGGCAATTTTGACTATAAAAATTCACAAGTTTATGATGCAATAAATGAACTTAAATGATTTAAAAGGAAGGCCTTGGTAGAGTAGCAGATTTATGAAAAGAAAAAATATTTCTGTGTGTATTAGAACAACAGTCAGGCACCAATTACCAATGGACTGGCAGGATAAAAAGAAACTTTTTAAAAATATTAAATTAAAAAAACTTTTATCACAGATAATAAAATATGAATGAAACATCATTAGCTTTTGACTTTACTGCATACAGATACTGTTGATGAAACTGTTGCAAGAACAGTGTCTGCTTATGACAGGGCATGAAAAAAACTCCATTTCCATGTGTGTTGGCTTGTGCTGCAAAGAGGGAGAAGCTAAAGCCAATGATTATTTTTGAAATAAAAACTATTCTAAAAGGAGATTTTCCTAATGACATAATTATTTATACAAATCAGAATGGATGGATGTGTGAAACAAACATGCATGAATTGCTACAGAAAGTTGTTTGATAGTGTCATAAGAAATCTTTTTTCCAATCAAAAAGATTGTTGATGGTGGATTCCATATGTTTTCATTTACTTGATTCAGTGAAAATCAGATGTCAGAAACTGTCTATGAATTTAGAAATAATTCCTAGTGGCTTGACAAAATTCTTACTTAGATTTGTCAGTCAATAAATTGTTCAAAGCTGCTGCTGCCCGAAAGCAGTGAAAGTATCAAATGAATGAAGGATTACACCAAAAGGGGGGGGATGCATCTTATGAAGTTGGAAAATGGATAGGAAGTACATATAAATCAGTGAAAATATCATCAATAATTTCAGGACTCAAAGATGCTGAAATTATATCTACAGATAAAGAGACTGAACCAGAAGGATGAATATGATGATCTGGTAGACTTGGACTAATTAGATCTCAATTTGGATCAGGATTTGCTAAATTTTTTTTATTCACATAATGAAGAATCAGATTTTGATGGCTTTATATGATAAACAGTTTACCGTAATTCTTTTTGTTAGGAAGTAAATTTTCTTCTCTCATTAAATTTAACATCTTGTTTTTGTGATATTTTTTTATAACACAATATAAGTGTTACATATATATTTTATAACACAGTAGAAGTATTACATACTTTAGTGGGCTCAACATTTCTTACCTATAGTTTATTTTCAAGTTATGGTTTCATTTCAAACATTTTTCTTAACTGATATACCATATATCATGAGATAGTTGAGATTTTGTGCCTGTAATGCTCACAGTGATGTCCCACATAATTTGGTTTAATGCAACGTTTTTGCAGTTTTAATTTTTTGTTGTGCCATTTTCCTCAATTACAGAGTTAATGCTGATGTTGCCATTCTAGAAATTACAGCAATTGTTACAAAAATAAGATTAAATCATTTTTATAATTACATATGAATTTATTTATTTACATGATTCAAATTAAAATGAAAAACCTGAAAGGTAATTTTTGTTCCATGCAAAATGCCCCGTTTAAAAAAAAAGTATGCAAAAATAATCCCTTTCCTTTAAAAAAAAAAAAAAAAAAAAAAAAAAAAAAAAAAAAAAAAAAGAAAAGTTTATCCAAAAGATTTATCTCAAAATGGCTCTGCCCGGATAATTCCAAAACATGATTTCTTAATATATGAAAAAATACATAAAATTTGAAAGCAAATTTTTATCAAGTATTTTCACATTTTAAACACTTTATCAAGCAAACCTGTCGGAATTAATTTTTAACTATGTAATCAAAGTATAAAAAGTAAATTATACTTAAACTTAAAAAGATCATGCATTATTGTTTTAAACAATACACAACGTTTTATTAATAAAAAATATTCTATCTATATAATCTTTAATGGTTGAACACAGAAATAAAAGTCCAAAATTTTATTGATTGAAATTCATAGTAATTTACAGAATATAGCACAAATGCCTTCCTTCTGCATTTATGTTTTTTAAAGAAAAAATTAAACCTAAATACATCAACTCTCGTCAAGTTAATAAAGTATCATCTAACTCTTCTTCCTTGGGCTCTGGTTGACTTGCCACTTTTTTCAAAACTTTTGTGATAACATCTTGTAATGCTTCACGAGCACCAGCATCAAGGGCATTTAAACAAACCTGGATAAAAGGGAAAAGTAAACAAAACATTCAGCAGTTAAATCAGCAATAGTCAATAATTCAACATTGTTCTTTTGTGACAAACTTAGCATTTAACTAAAATGATTTCATCTTTACTATTATATGGAGGGAGGATCCGAGAGGAAATGACACCTTTACTGAACATCTTCAAAACCTTAAGAGTTACACATAAAATCTATGTCAATCTATGGTTGTTTAGACTAAAAGACAGAATATATTTCATATATGTTCTTTATTAATAATAATTAAATTAACAGAAAGGGCTGATATTTTGTCTTCTTAAGTATAACAAAATATCCAGACTTTTTTTCGAAAACTTATAATATTCAAACAGACAATAACACAAAATATGAAACAAGCATTAAATTTGAAAATTACAGGTTTTGGTTTTAACTTTAAATCTTAATTACATTAACACTTCAATCAGAATGATATATCTGTAGGACAATACTTTCCAATCCAAAAGTTAATCATACAATGCTGATTCCGAGATTTAAAATGGACGCTACTATCGCATCTTGAATTTTTGGAAAGAAATACATTTTTCTATATTAAATCAAATGGAGAAAAATAACCATGCTAACTGAAGCAATAAAGGGGACACTAAATTTTAAATTGTACCAAAAACACTCTATTTCACTTTAAATTTGCACACTAAGACTCCTACAGGTAGCAGCAGATTTACTATTTTCATATATATTTTGAAGACAATTTAATATAATCATTTTACCTACCTTAATGTATAATTTAAGAAATTAGGAAAAACACAGTTTTTAAAATTTAATTCCAATGCAAAACATGCTTTGAGGGCATTAGGCCTTATATTTTAAAAATAAATAAATACTACAGTGCAAAGTCCAAGATCTGTACTTTTCGGGACTTCCGCACTTCCAAACTTGGCATTCTAGATTATCAGTTTAAAACTAGTAAGATGACGGGTACGAATTATAAATGTTCAAAATAGTTGTTTATGAAATAATGAAGCATTTATGAACTCAAATCAAAATAAAATATAAACTCAACATTTATTTATTTGTTTCATTAAACATTTTTTTTAAACATAAGTTGCTTTGTTTTTTCTTGCGCTGATATTTCCATTTTGAATTTCTTGTTCACATTTCTTGTTCACATAAAAAGTTTCATTGTTCAAGTCTTGTAATTGGTGTATCGAGAATTCCCACTAAATTCTCAATCAAACTTTTTTTGTTCTAAACAACCTGTCTGTCACTTTCTTCTCTATTGGTAGCGATATTTTCTGGATTTAGAAACATACTACAGATTTCACCATATCCAAAAATTCCTAGCTATCGCCATAGAGCTTATATGCGCACCCACTTTACAATATTAGTGATGTAGCACGACATTGGCAACTGAAGACATATTTTTCGGCTAAAAATTATATTGCTTCTATCACCCACTGAAGAAATTAAACGTGAATTATTCAGCCCACTGAAGATAATAAGCCTGTTTTGTTATTCCCACATGTGCTTAAGACTTATCTGAGCCCAGATGAAATAAACTCTCCCATATACTTAAGGTGGTACTTTTCCATTATGTATCTGCCATGCATTTTGTCTGGTTTTTTACCAGTAAACAACTTCTAGTTACAAGAATAGTTTATAGATGGCAAAAACACACACATGCTGTGTGGCAGGCAATGACCAATACATCATCACTTGCATTTAACATAAAGAGAAAATACCCTTAAAGCTTATTGGAACAACAAATCCGTTGGTTTTAATTCAAAAGCACTAAATGGACTATGAACATCATTTATAAAATATATTTTTAGAAATTTCTGTTAAATTTCTCCCTGTGTCAATGCAACCTTTTCCAAAGCAGTTGGCTTAAATTGTAATCATTCCCTAATGTACTGTCAGCATAAAAGGTTACCATGCTATTTGGTATTCAATTACTGATATTTGAAACAAAAAATGTTTTAGATATCTTTATGTGAGTTGTTTCACAAAGCTAGTTCATGGTCCTGGGGTGATAAAAAGCAAAATAAAATAAAGATTCATCAGGTTGGCAAAAAAGTTATATGATATTCAGTAGGCATAAAATCAGCAATAAGCTTTGATAAAATGCTTTGGTTTGAGACGTATACCAAGTAATAAGGCAGCTAGATTTACATTAATAAATGATTCTGCTTCATAACACGGGGACATGCTGAAGTGAAATTAGAACCAGAACCCCTTCACATGCTTTATTTTGAAAATGTTTGCTGCCCACGCACAAAACATTAAGCATATGCTACTCTCGGACTCTTTCTACCTTTCTACCCCCTAAAAAGTTCTAAAAAGTTTCTAAAAAGTTCTACCCCCTCCTCCTCAAAAAAAAAAAAAAAAAAAAAAAAAAAAAAGAAGAGAAGAAAAGAAGAAGGTGGTCGGGGGTTCGGATTTAAATATCTAAAAAAATTTCACAAAAATTTTCAATACTACAAACCTGTGCAGTTTCATCCCCTTTTCGCAAATTAAGAACAGCAACGAGGGCAAATTCACTATTTGATTTCACAATGGTGTTCTTTTCTTTAGTGCCATTGACAAGATGAGGTACAAAGGTTTTCATCACATGAAGTGGAAGGTTTTGCTTTCTAGCCAGGAAATTTATGGTCAGAGCTACAGCTTGTTTCACTTCATTTGTGTTGTGGTTCATACTCTGTCAAGAAACAAAAATACAAATTACTGAACATTTAAATTACAGAACATAAAATCACTACTTTCATTCTACTATTCAATAAGAAAAAAATTAGTGGAAATTATACTTTGTGCATTTCTGAATACAGGTTTAGTGATCTATTGAATAGCACTAATAACTACATACCAAACACATATATTAGTATTAGTCACAGTTTAAACAAAGATAAATAAGATAAAGCCATGACTTCATGACTAGAACAATATCTTCCCCTCCCCTTCTAGAAAAAGTTTGATTCTATCATATAGGTAACATTAGCACAACATTGGTAGCCATCTGAATAAAATATTAAAATATGAATGCTAATAAGCAGCCAATTTTAACCAAAACTTCTGAGTCAGAAGATTATTAGTGTTTAAATATGTACCTATGACTTATAAGAATATTCTTCACATACAACCTACAATTAACCAATAATAACATGAACAACCATTATAGTCAACTGTATCCATTACAGTCATAAAAATAACCCCCCTTTTATCTTTAACAAAAACAAATTTTTCCTAAACATCCAGTACAAATATCAAAGGTCTAACTGACATTTTTATACTTAATGTTAAAAATTCTTTTGATTTATTCCTGACCCCTCATCTGAAAATATAAAACATTCCAAAATTTGATGTCCTGAATTGCAGATTTAGCCACATTTATTGAAACACTTCATTATCACATAGTGATTTTGTAGTACAGTGATTTGCACGTCAGAACCGCTATGGACCTCCACCAGAGTTTCCGCTGGTCTGGTCCTGCTGTATAGTGATATTATTCCACCACTGAAGAACAAGTAAAAATACTATATAATGTATATATTGTGTAATGATTCTAGAAAGACCATGGCCAGCAGGGGCAGAGCGGTAAAGTCGCCAAACACAGGTAGTTCGGTCCTTGCAAGCAGGATGGGTGTTTCATGGTTTTCTCCATGTATAACATGTATATGTACCAGTTTATCTTAGAAAGTTCTCCACAAAGGCATCCATTCCCTTAGGTAGATAGCCCCTGAGGCTATGCCGTAACTACATAAACCAAATCAATCTAGAAAGACCAACTCCTTGAACGGTGTGACCTTCTGTATAATTGAATCCTGACCCAGTTTTAAAAATACATTAATCCCTTAAAAGAATACTTATTCATGATATATGGAAAACAGGCTAGAAGGACCCGGATTACTGGAATGTTTAGCCCCTCCCAAAAAAACTGCAGGATAAAAGTTATACACATGGCATAGATAAAACTGCAATTATCAATCTGTAACATTTTAATTTCACCAGCAAAATTATAATATTATTTTAATCTTATTAATTACTGACTGCTTTAAATACATGTCAGCATTTTAAAGAATTAAAATATTTTATCTCATAGTTCAGGCAGAATTTGGAAAATAAACTATTACAAGGAATTTTTTGGAACAATGTTCAGATTTACGAAAAGTCTGAAATGCAGTTCTTGGACACAGTTTCAGTTATTGCAAAAGAGTTGATTACAAAGAAAAAAAAGGTACATCAGGATCTACTAAAATTAATTTTAGTTAATGTATTCAACAAAACTTTTCATCTGTCAGAAGATTTTTAATTACTTTATATAAATATTAATAAAAGTCAAATAGCTTGTTCCCATTAATGATAAGCAGCATTAAAATATTAATTTGGTTGGATGATTACATAACAAAGCATGGAAAGGTACCTGCTTTAAGGGAAAATACTTTTATTGATGTATGAGGAGAACAAAATTGCTCTTACATTACATACAAAGAAGAAGCATTCATATGTGATGCTACGTAAAGGAAGAAAATTTTATCTTCACAAAACAGTTCACTCTCAGTTCAAAATGATATAGAGTACAATTAATACCAAATATACAATTACAAGACAGTATACACTGACTTATAAATTCACAAAAATAAATAATAGTGTCAGTAAAACTGCTCAATGAATGAAACAATAATAGTTAACTTCTAAATCATGTAAATTTTTATCAGTTTATACATTACATTTTAACAGAATAACTTACCTTTGAGAATGTAGTTAGTAAGGGTTGTGGAAGTTGTTCCCCTTCTTGTAATTTATGAACAATATAGTATCCAGTTGCACGAACCCCACTTAGAACAATTGCTAACTATAACAAAGTTTAAAAACATGAATGAATAAATTACTATATGGTTACACACAAATTATTGCACAAAAATGACTGACTAAGAAGCAGAAAAATGCATATAATTAAATATTTAAGCAGAAAACTTACTTTAGACATCATACTGTGCAGCGGTTTTAAATCGATTTATTTTATTTGCATGAGTACACACACATGCATAAAGCAGCTAAAGATTTAGCAAGTGAGAAAACAGGAAACATTTAACAAGAGAAAGAAGAGACAAAAAATAAATTTATGCTTAGCATGTGCAGATGGTGGCAAAGTACAAAAAGAAAATCCCATTCAAGTCAATGCGACATGTAATATCAAGAAAAAGGATGGTGTAATTATGAATAATTTCAGATCTTCATCAGGGAGTAAATTGCAATTTTGATATAAATTACCACTTTATTCGTTTTTGGATGAATATTTTGATTTATGAACTTAAATTCCCCAAATCGTTTTTAAACTAGTAGTTAATAATTAATACAAATTCACATCAGAAATAAATCTGACCCAAAGCATACATGTCAGTTAAGTAGCGTTACTTAAGTTAGCCCAAACCCAGCAGAATATGAGGTCAGAACGGACTAAAAAAAATTTTTTTTTACCCAATGGCAGATTGTGAACAGTTACAATTTTGTACAAGTCCTTAATCGATACTAAGTCAGAGTGGCCTCTTATTCTGAGGCCCTAGAGGTGGCCACATGCTCCGAGAGGGAAGACAGTCACAACCTGCCTTCTCAGGAATGAACCCAGCCTTCGTATCGCGTCAGGCTCCCAACCACTATACCATTGGTGTAAATAAAAATTATACTCCAAATAAAAGTATTTGGATTTTTGCTATATTTACAATGGAATCAAAATCTGTCTGAGAAAAAATGAGCCTGGTGCTTTCTCAACTGAATGCCTCTGGAGCCTACTCTCTGCGTACAGGTTCTATATATATATATATATATAGATCTCTCTCTCTTATAATATAGAAGAGAGAGAGGAAGGCGTTAAATGCATCCACAAACCAATAACCAGTGATTATCATAGTAACCCACAATCAGAAAACGTGAAGAAATATCTTATTAAATGGTTACACTTTAATACACATTACATCTTAATTGAGGCCTACTTTTGTACAGACGTGTACTCTAGTTGCACTATATTTAGTAAAGTAATGGGAAATGCTTTCTATGACTAAAATTTCAACAGCAATGAATGAATATATATTTGAATTGAACTAGAGGTAATGATTACATTAAAGGAACTGAGTTTAATATATTGTTATGGTTTTTGTATTGATTAGTATTTTAAGAGAATACTTAACAAGTTTATACTACTGTAATGCAACATGAGACTTAATTAAAAAAGCTACCTGAAATTAAAAATACAAGAGCACGTGCATTTAACATTTAATAAATAAATAATCTTTCAATTTATATTTAATTCAAATAAATAATTATTGAATAGCCATAACTGTAATTCTACTCTTTTTGCTTTCGAGAATTTGCTAGAACAATCTCGTGCGGCTGATTTAAAAAGCTATAAAAGTGAAAGAGAGAACATCTCAGCTCAGTTTGTTTAGAAAACTGTTGTTGTTTACTGTACCAAATTCACGGTGAAATCGGATTAGCTTTCTATGTTTTGAATTAAGTTCTTTTGAACATTTGAGTACTTTAAAAGATAACTACTGTGAGATATTGCAATATTGCATGCATATCTGCGGAAATTTAAGTATTTTGTTTTATTTGTTGTGGTGATAATAAATTGTATTCACTTTTCAAAGGACTTGTGCATTCAATTCATTACGAACCTGTATGCACGCACATACCATTGAAGCATATATAACTATAATGTAAATTGATAATGTATAATTGGTTGTTACATAAATGGCTTGATTTACTGAATTTCGGAAAAATTTTTGATTGATGGCAGTCTTAAAAATATCATGTGTATAAGTGGTACAGAAAATAAATTGAGATATTATGTTAAAGTTCAAAGTTTTGAAAGCCTAATTTCATTCCATGGACACTGCTAAATCCTGTAGATATCTTGTTACTTCATTTCCTATCTCTTCCCCCATTCTTGTAACACTATTCCTAAATACCATTAATTTGTGAGACAAAGAGTAGGCCTAAAAGATGTTTGTTGCAAAAACTGAATTAAAAAAGTGGTTCATGAGTCAAAAAGGTTGGCACCTGCATATAACAATCAATAACTACATTCTGGAGACAAAATACTCGGCCGCTATTTTTTATTTTAAATCTTTTCACTTTTGCATTTTTTGCCATAAATAATTTTAAACTTTTTAATGAATTAATTACTTTTTATTACACTATTTTGGTATTTGCAGCATTTTTAGATTCCTATTCAAGCACAATAGCCTACAAATCTCCAATGTTTTCAATATAGTTTACTTTTGTCACCTGGTCAAGTAACATGGGCCCGGCTAATAAAAAATGTTGCCAATTATGAGAACTGTGAAAAAATAACTGATTTGAAAGAAGAAATAAATACTCAGAATCAGCATAGAGATGAATCTGAGCATGCTAGACATTTATAAAGGGGGGGGAGTTACTAAATGGTATAAAACATATAAAAGTACAGTTGCAAAAAATTGTTACATAATATTAAATTATTATAAAATCTAACACATTTAATAATGGAATAGCAAGTATCTTAAAACATTTCAAATTAAAAAAGTCAGATCATGAACCCATTTATACTACATTCTGAAGACTGATTTGTCAGGGATACTATCTAAATAACCATAGCCATAAAAAATTATTACAACTTTCAAGGGTTAACTCTTCTAAGGGGAAAAAAAAATCTTTTATCAAATGCTTAAAAAATTATATTACTCTGTCAGCAGTCAAATACACCAAAAGAACTTTAACAATTCGGTCTGTCCAATCTTCATTCAACATTCTTGAAGGTGTTTCTTTTAAAGCTACCATAAGAGCAACACTTCTCCCATGCCTTAGCACCCAATCCACAGATGGATCATCCTCTGTGAAAAGGAATAAAAAATAAATAAGGCAAAAAACAATTTAAGAAATACAGTTTTGCAACTTCTCGCAAGTAAGAAAAAAGACCCTACTTTTAACATTAAATTAATACTACAATATGTATAACATCTATAGAAATATAAAAAATAATAGCTGTTCTATCTCCAGTAATAGAACAGTTTTCCCCTTATCATATATTTTAATAAGATCTTATTAAAAATTATGTTTATTTGAAAATTAAGAAATGGAAATAATTCAGATTGTTCTTTCTGCTGTATTTTTATTAGTTACTGCTTTTCTTTCACAGTCGTAATGAAGGAAAAGAAATAACTAGTAAAAATACTGCAGGAAGAATAATCCAAATTCTTTTCATTTTTAATCAAACAAAATTTAATATTCATTTACAACACCAAATATTCATTATGTAATGAAAAGTAATCATATATCATACACCAGTGGTCAAATGGTTAAGACATTTGAACACTATTAGTTCATGTGTTTGCCTTTTTCCCCACATGTAATGTGAATAAAGGCTGGTTTCCCTTCCAAAGTCATACACAAATCACACTTTTGGATTCTTTTAAGCAAATAATCTTGTCCATATAATTCAAAGTATTCTGATGTATCTAGAGTTCCAATAGGGAGAAAACAGTTTCTTTTCAGATTCAATTTTTGGAGAGATGGAAAGCACTAGAAATTTTAGACACGTACCTTGGTCAAATAAAAATTTCCACAAACTAGAGATAGAGATATCAAGGTAATTTAGATTATTGAGATGAAATGATTTAGATTATTGATGACACAGAAATGAGAAGAAAAATAACGAGAAAAAGAGAAATCAAATGCTGAAATTTCTTGGATTTCCAGCATTATGTTTTGAAATGCTTTCAAAATGGAACTAGTAAAAAAATTTATTTTAGCTGATAGAATAGGCCATAAATCAGAGCGATGATTGAGTACAATTAACAACAAATATAGGACAGCAGTTCAATTCTTTGAAAATAACTTTGATTGCATTCTGTTGTTCAGTCTTTGAATTCATAGCAGCCAATATCAGTCATGTTAAAGCAAACAAAATATTTTTGCTTAACTTCTTTAGGCAAGTATATGATATTTTAACGAAAGTAAATTGTATTAAAAATAATTTTGCTGAAATTGGTTGAAAAAAATCAGCCAAACACTAAAACAATGTATTAGGAATCTTTTTAAAATTTTCTTTCTATCTGTAATCCTCTCCCACTGCTCTACACCAAGCAAAGCATGTTACTATTCAATCATTATCTTCTTTAACCCTCTCAGCGTTACGGCCGGAAAATTCCGTACAGAAGGTTGCCTTCCACATTCTTATACGAAAATTTCCTAGCTTGTAAGTTTGATTTCAATTTGCTGGATATGAAGAAAAGGAATAAGTAAAAATGAAGGTAATTTTTTAATTAAAATCAAGAAATATCACTTATTCATGACATTTTTAGGAACTTTGAAATTTCAGGGCTAAACCCGTAATGCTCAGAGGGTTAAACTTACACTAGTAATTTAACAATGGTAATAATTATTTAAAATTAAATTAGTAAGTAGGAAGTCAAAAAGTAACTAACCTAACAAGTTCTCTCTGACTATATCTTCAAATTCATCATTAGGCAGAAATTCACATAAAGTTCCGAGACAGGCAGCAGCAACAACACGACAAGAATCATCTGGATGTCCTAACATGCTAGTCACAGTACATGTAATACTTCGCCTAACTTGATCTGACATTTTATCACCAGCTGGTTTTATGATACAACGTAAAGCATGTAACATTGTTTCTCTGAAAGAAAATAATATATATATATCTATTTTGTTATATATATATTTGAATAAACTGCACATTACTTTACATAATATCTCCTTACAAAACAGTGTTTATTAAAATCTTTTAAGCACTGTTTTATTTTATACCCAATCAAGCCTTTATTTTCATTCAACAGTACATTTTAAATATTGGATTAAAACCTGCTCCTTTTTACTTACTTACTTCTTAATATACACTCTTTTGCACAAAAATCGAAGCACCAAGAAGGACTTTTGTGATTGTGACAAAATTTGGTATGCAAAAATATCTTGATCAAACATGCAAATGACCAAAGTTTCAAGGCAAATGAACAGGAATTGCGATCATAGTGCACAATTCTCAAAGTATAAAATCAGTAACAGAGGTGGAAAATTTATCTTTTTTTGTTGTGAATTTAATTCTGTAAAGACGAACTCAGATCCAATAGGAAATATCAAAACTTACGACAACTGAAACGACTTCGAAGTGTTGATGTAGGGTGCGTGAAGCTGTGTGGTCATACTGATCTGCAGTGTACAGGCACTGCTGTGCAAAGATGTTGGCAGCAATGGTTGCTACAAGGAAATTGCCGACGGAATGAAGGCTCTGGAAGGCCAAGGATCACAAATGCGAGGAAAGATAGGATGATTGTTTGCCAGGCCCAATGGTATCATTGTCAACTATTCAAGGCACTACAGCCAAGTTTATACCTTCAGTAGTATCGTCCACCATCTCATGCTGCTTGTCTGAGGTGGGGTTACACTCAGAGATGCCTTTAAGACATTTGCATTTGAACATAACTCGCGAGTCATCTGGAGTGACTGTCCAGTGATCATCAAGCTGACATGTATAGTGTCAGCTGTGAATCACGCTTCACTCTTGAGAAGAGACATGTGTTCGTGTGGTGAGGACGGGCCAGCAGTCAATAGCCTTTGTTTACAAGCATACAGCATAACCCTGGGTGTGTGGGTGCTATTTCTTATGAGAGCAGGCCCTTTAGTCATCCTCGTACATCTTAGCAGCTCAATGATTGTTGATACCATCCTGAGCGATGCACGGCAGTCAGCTGGGGGCATTTCCAAAAGTAATCCAGGCCCACAACCGCGTGCATATCTTGGACTCCTCCGAGCAGTTGAACTCGTCCTTAGCCAGCAAGGCACCAGACCTTCACTAATAGAAAGTCTGGAAATAAGGCCTCAGATCGCACACCAAATATCCGCTGGAGCAGAATGTTTAGCAGGAGACCAATTAGGAAACTACCATCCTTGCCTCAACGAATCAAGTATGCCTTGACGCCAGGGGCGGTTCGACCACCTACTAATTTGAACATTCATGAGTGATGTGCGATGTGAACAGTAAATGACTGTGATTTTCTCATTTTATTATTGTGCATGAAAATACACATATTCAATTCATCAAAACAATCCTTCATTCATGGTGCTCGATTTTTGGCAAAAAGAGCGTACATACAGTCAAAAGTCGTTAATCCGGACTTCGTCGGCGATTTCGGATTATAGATCATCAGTTTAAATCTCTGGTAAATGGCATGCAGAAAAAATTAAAAAATATGAAAACCGTAATTTAATTTATGAAATAAAGAACAATTATGATCTAAAGGGTATCAAATTTACAAAAAAAAAAAAAAAAAAAAAAAAAAAAAAAAAAAAAAAAGCTTAATATTATTTGTTTACTTTATTAAACATTTCTTTCAATGTAAGTTGTTTAAGTTGCTTCGTTTTTTATGTGATAATACATTCTCTTTAATTCTATAAACAGACATAATTTCTTGTTCAGTTACAAAAGTTCCGCTGTTCAAGTCCTATAATTGCTGTGTCGAGAATACCGACTAATTTGTCAATCGAAATTTTTCGTTTTCAATAACCTCTGTCACTTTCTTCGCTATCGGAAGCGAATTATAATGACGAGGAATTTGATTTAAATCATATCAAACACGGAGTACATCGAGATGAAATACTACATTTAGTAAGGAATTATAAGCCAAATAAAATAAAAACATCTGCCCTGAAGATAAGGATAGTGCTGACAGATCAACTTCCAATTCATTGCGCGCCGCAGGGGTTAAAGATAAACAAAGTTTAGATAAACAAAGGATATGCCTTTATCCATTTTTTGCAGCAATTCCACTTTTTTTTAATGGACTTCGAAACATACTTTCGCTTTGTAGATCCTTTACATATTAGTAAATATATATCAGAAATTCTATTTGACATAATCGAAAGTTCAAGCTTACTTTTATAAAATTGCTCTAACAGTCTGCAAAAAATAATAAGCCGGATCCAATTCGAAGATTAAGGAACAACGCAATCTGCAACATTAACTGAATTAGATAATTTTAGCTTAGCTTATACCGTCCGTTATACATTAAACGCGCATTCGTAAACGTATTTGCGCACGCGCATATTTGCAGCCGTAAAGGTCTTAAGCGCATGCGTCGGTGCACAGAAAGTTTGTAGCTTTGAGGTTCGGGTTATAGATCATTCCGGATTACGGGTGTCAGAATTAACGACTTTTGACTGTAATAATCCATATATATATAAAGAATTAAAAATTTTATAAACAGCACTAATATTTATATTTCTTGCATTTCAGTGCATTGAATGCATTATAGTTTATACATGGATAGCTACAAATGTCACAAGCAGCGAATATTTAGTGGATGAATTTCTGTGTCTCTTTGAGTTAAATCTAAACCAAACATTTTATAATTACAAGATATGATACACACACTTTCATTAATATTCAGTTGTGTTGAGTTTATTGAATGGAAAATTAATAATTAGAAGATATCAATAGTAAGAGCTCTAGAATGAATATTAAAATTGTGTGCCACATGTGCTTTGTTCACATGGTGAAAAATAAGTTGTACGAGAGAAATTAATGATGGTCAAAATGAGGTTATATTTGATGATATCAAAGTACATAAAGAATATGTAATTTCACATTTCCTTTCTTATGCTGTTAAGTATACTGTTCTGCATCTTCAAATATGAATATACAATGAAGGAAATTACTGGCACTTCAACTACCAGAAATTATGAGATCATATCGCTTTGCAACCATGTGAAGCTGCTGCATATGGTCAGAGCAGGCCTCAAATAAGCCATTTTGAAATAAATACTCAGAAAAACTACAAGATCTGTACACTAAAAGGCCAAAATATAGTTGAAAGACATCTTCAACTTTGATCACAATCATTTTTCTACCAGGCATAGACTTAACAAGACTCAGATATTATTCCCAAGAAACATTAGATCATGGTGACATAATAGCAGCTCTAATTTTGTTCAGATCGGATCACAGTATTTCCAAGCTGTAGTGTGATATTTCAACTTTGTACTACAAATGCTGAATAAAACCGAGGTCAAAAAACACAATCCATGAATGCACTTTACTTTAAACACTGGATCATGCTTGTCTGAGGTAAGCTGTGCTGCTTACAGATGTTTTCAGACAAACCAGGGACTTGTTGTATACCAGGAAGTATTCCTCTTCCCATTACCAGCTTGAAAAGCTGCTGTTTTAAGTGAGAGGGATCCATGGATTCCCTTTGTGCCAAATTTTGATACCAGCACCTGTATAATGGAATTGGAAACAAATTTCAAAAGACCAAAAAACGTTTTTCTAATTATCAGGTGTCTGGTTTTGGTGCTGCCGGGCAAATAAAAATATTTATAGCCTACTTATGAGGACAGTATTGGCATCTTTAACTGTCTCATGCTGTTATCGCTTTTGTTGCTGACCATGTGAGGTTGTATTGATAGTTATTGCCATGACATAGATTGCATTCATTTGCCGAATTATTATAAGAAATAATATTTAAAAGAGGTAATAAAAGATGATCACGTGTATCACACCAATTGCTAAGCTCTTAACATTTTATGACTACATACATGCCAGTGTGTGACTGGAACAAGATAGAAAATTATTTCTTCACTGCCATATCATGTCCTGGAGTGTACCACTTAAAAACAAATTAAAATACGAAAAATAAGAATCAAAATGAATTATTTTTGTATGAAATTATCAAAAATAAACATATGTATTACAAATGAATTTATGACAAGGTAGTTATAATGATGTTATTACAAACTATATATTTCAGAATATTATTTGTGTATAATCTTTGCATGAAACAAAATTTTGGCTAAATTCAAAACCATATACAATTACTTTCTAACTTTTACTCCATGCCAGCATGTGATTGACACCAGACAGATCAAACCATATGCCACTTAAGACTGGCTCTTCAGCAATAATGTCACAACATGCACCACAGTGTACTCGACAGCAAACGTGTTAAAATGTCTCCTGCAAAGTCCATCAAGCTGAGCTTTCAGGTAAGATTTCTGAAGCATCTGAATTGCACTGAGTCACCTATTGTGACCTTATAACAGAAGCAACCTGTTTGTGACCTTATAACATTATAACAGAAGCACAATTGCATGACAAATCCAATTTGTCATGCAATTGCGCTTCTTTTATAATGTACATATCATGCCACCTGCCTTTCTCCTCTGATTAGAATTGTGTTTACCATCTGAAGTTTTTCTTGCTCAATTGCTGCTCTCTAAATCAAGATAGAAGAGAAACATGCCAAAGTAAAACCCAAAACCATGAAAAGCAACCTTGCACAGGTTTTAGTCAAGACTATCAGTTTTGAAGGCAAACAGGTAAGGTCACTTTTCATCAGTAGCAAAGAAATCTATAATGAAGGGAAAGGCATAATTGTATTTAAACCCAAAAGGAGTAAAGCAAAGAAGAGGAGAGCTACAGCAATGTGTTGTTTTCTTTGCTTCTGATGAAGAGGGGCTTGTACCTGTTTGCCCTCGAAATCAATAGTCTTGACCAAAATCTATCAGGGTTCATAGCCACATTTTAGTTATAAAAATAAGCATTTAAAGCAAATATTTTAATCTGGACAAAATAAGCACTGTCTATACATATATACAACTGCAACCTTAAAAGAAAAATTAGACTTGCAATTTAAAATATG